GGCAGAACAAGAAAACACCACATTCACTGTTAAGAACTGGAAAGAAATTTCAGTTTGTGCGATAATACATTAAAACAGCCCAAGTCAAGGCCAGATTTGACAATGTGTACCTCAGTGATTGAGGTGGGGTGCCATGAGGTCAGCCTGAGGTTTACAGATCAAAAGGGCCATAGGTTTTTGTTTTTTTAAATGTTTTATTATGAAATATGTGATAGTGTTTACATGAGAGAACATTAGTTTTACATTCATCCTCGTATATCATTTCATTGCCATGGTTACAATCACCCCCATGCATCAAAAACCAACCAAAGGGTATATCCTACAAGCCTGCTTCCACACCCCCCACACCCCCACACCCCGGTCTAAAGTCCCCAGCTGTTCCATCTCTCCTAGTCATCTTCTCTGCCTCCATCTCAGGCATCAATCACTGCTTCTGTGGGTATGGTTTTGCTCTCTGCTCTTCTCCCATCATGGTCCCAGAGACCTCTGCACCTAGGCTGCAAAGTTAATCACTCCCCTCCTTGCTACAAAACGTCTACCTTTACATATACAACCCTCACAATCAGTCCTGATACCAATTATTCACTATTGTATCACAAGAGAACTATCAGCATTTCCTTTCATCAGTCCTGCCTAGACAGATGAGATACTACTCAGTGGAGATTCTACCTAAGGCCATAGGTTTTTGTTTTTCAACTTTTTATTGTGAATTGAGTGAAGGTTTAGAGAGCAGATTATCAGTTTTACATTCAACAAATCATATACTTTGTTTCATTACATGGTTGCAATCCCTTCAAGGTGTCAACAGTTAACAGCATTTACCTGTATTCACTTTTATCTATTACATTCTTCCTTGTGTCTTCCACTACCTTCATCTTTTCTCTGCTAACCTCTCTCTTGTATATACCTTGTCCTGTCACCCATGTTAAAATGTAGCTGTGCTCTAGCCCATGAATAATTTTTCTCCTCTGCTCAATAACCATCATAGATTGTTTCTTTTATCAATAAAATGTAACTTTTTATAGCATTGGTCTCTGATAATATTTGTCCTTTTGTGAGTGACAGATTTCACTCAGCATAATGCCCTCCAGGTTCAACCATGTTGTGAGATGTTTCACAGATTTCTTCCTCATTCTTCAACCTTTTGTAGTATTTCATTGTATGTACCAAAGTTTGCTCAGCCATTCTTCTGTTGATGGATATTTAGACTGTCCATTTTTCTTTTATGTCTTTTGTAGACAGCATATTGAAGGATCTTGTTTTCTTTTACCTTCTGCCATCTCGCTTTTTTTCCTCCTTATTCTGCAACTAAGTACACCCATGAAAGCTTATAAACCAGCCACTTCATGCCTTTGTAGCCACCACCCTACCCTCCATTTTTGATAGCCAGTGTCTAAATTTCTTGTCCCTATCAACCCAGTATGCTAAGGAAATACAGTTCCTTGATATGGAGAATCCTATTCCAGTTGTAATTTTGAGTCACAGCATTTATAGGCAAAAGTCTAGTTCTTCAAATTGTAGTATTTTGCATTTGTACTCAGTATCAAGCATCTTCTTTCGTTCAAGTTCTGGTCAACTAACCATCCATGCTAGGTCACATGGATACTAGTTGCAAGTTTGGGAGTTCATACATACTTCTCTGCACTTCAGAACAGCCAACCCTTCCATTTCGTTCTCATTTCAAGGTCAACCGGTGCCAATGGAACATGGCTAAACAGCCCCGTCTTTATTGCTGCACTTCCACTTACAGGTACTCCCAGCAAGCATTTTATACTTCTTAGGAGTTCCCTTTGAGTTTCAGTCCTAGAAGGGGGTTTTCCCTGATGGGCTGTCTTTTCTTTCCTTGTTGCTTCCAAAGCAAAGAGCTTGCTTGATAAGGTCAAAGGTTCTTAAATGCCTGTTGTTAGATGTCATCGAGTCGGCACCAACTCATAGCAACCCTATGCACAGCAGACCGCAACACTGCCTGATCCTGGGGCAATGGCACTACTGTTGCCACGCTTGAGTCCATTGATGCCGCCACCTGGCCAGTCCATCTCGTTAGGGGTCTTTCTCTTTTTCTCTGACTCTCCACCTTACCAAACATGATATCCTTCTCCAGTGACTGGTCCCTCCCAACAATATGTCGGAAGTATCAGAGATGAAGTTTGGCCATCCTGGCCTCCAAGGAGTACTCTGGCAGCACTTCCAAAACGGATCTACTGGTTCTTTTGGCAGCCCATGGCACTTTCAATATTCTCCAACACCATAACTCAAAAGCATCATTTCTTCTACAGACTTCCTTATTCACTGTCCAGCTTTTGCATGCATATGAGATTATTGAAAATACTATGGCTTGGGTCAGGCACACCTTAGTCCTCAAGCTGACATCTTTGCTCTTCAACACTTTCAAAAGGTCTTGTGCAGCAGATTTGCTTAATGCAATACATCATTTGATTTCTTGACTGCTGCTTCCATGAGTGTTGATAGTTGATCCAAGAAGGATGATGTCCTTGACAACTTTAATCTTTTCTTTGTTAATAAGAATGTTGTTTATTGGTCCAGTGGTGAGGGTTTTTTAATCCATACCAAAGGCTGTGCTCTTTGATCTCCATCAGTAAATGTTTTAGGTCCTCTCTACTTTCAGCAAGCAAAGTTGCATCATTTGCATATTGCAGGTTGTTAATGAGTCTTCCTACAATTCTGATGCCATGTTTTTCTTCATATAACCCACATTTTTCTTGGATTATTTGCTCAGCATACAGGTTAAATAAATATGGTGAAAGAGTACAACCTTGTCGTACACCTTTCTTAATTTTAAACCATTCAATGTTCCCATGTTCTGTTTGAACAACTCCCTCTTGGTCCAGGTACAGATTCCTCATGAGCATAATTAAGTGTTCAGGAATACTCATACTTTGCAATGCTGTCCATAGCTTGTCATGATCCACACAATTGAAAGCCTTTGTGTAGTCAACAAAGCACAGGTAAACATCCTTCTGATATTCTCTGCTTTCAGCCAAGATCCATTGGACATCAGCAGTGATATCCCTCGTTGCACGGCCTCTTCTGAATCCAGCTTGAATCTCTGGAAGTTCTCTGTCAATATATGCTTGCAGCCGTTTCTGTATTACCTTTAAAGTCATAGACATTTTAAAATTTATGATGTGGTTGTGAGATTCCCACAGCCAACAGCAGGTGGAGCAGAAATGAGTGAGGCAGGCCCAGCAGTAGTCTGCTTGCCTTCTGTTGCCTGATGATGAGCTGCTGGAGAAGGTGCTGCCATTAGCAGTAGGAATACTTCAACTCGATACAGGTAACAGAAATGTAGTAGGATGTTCAGAAAATAGGGGAAAGTTTTTGAATAGTTTTTAAAAGTCTAAGGGAAATGGTTTAAACATTATTCATGGGTACCAAAAAATGATATTGGTAAAATTGTATGACTATTGTCATGTATCATATTTGAGGATTTAAGAGTCATCATTTTTTAAAAAGGGATGTGTCTGTTGTACTATGTTTTGTACTTGGAGAGACTTCTGATCTAAGTGTGGTGGGTTAATGACAAGATGCAGGAAATTTGAAAGTCCTTAATTGGTAGAATTTCCATCTATTTGAATCAGAAACATGTATTTCACAACAGCTGCATGTTTTTTGGAATTCAGTTTAGGGAAAAGGGTTGCTGCTGTCTTCACCTCCATGTAGGGAGCCTAGGCCTGACTGGTTGTTTCCAAAGTTGTTTGTTCTCAACCCATCTAGACCACTGGTGGTGTTTGGTCAGCACCCACCTTTGGTTGAGCCACACAGCTCCCACTGCTACCTGCTCCCTCTTTCCCCAAATGTTCCAAACATTCTTGAGTCAGTGTTTCCTTGCAGTACCCTAAGAAAACTGACAGGGGGGTTCAAGGGTGAGTGGATTTGTGGATGCACACTCATGTGCTTGGGGCCCTGGCATTATGTGTAGAATCTCAGAAAGTGGGAGGTGAGCCTGCCCTTTGGAGCCCCTAGCCTACTCTGAATGACAAAACCACAACACACAGACCATACTTTTCTGGAAGTAGAGAGAATGGATCTTAGCTGAGTAGTCAGAAACTTAGCAGTGGGGTCTGCCTTAATGGTGTTGCTCTTGTCTGCATGTCCACCTGAAGGCTGGCTTCTGTATCTCTGCTTGTCCATAACCCAGCCATAGAAAAGTAGAGAGCATGAAAATGCCCAGGCCTTCGCACTTGGCCACTGGTAAGTTTTCCCCTGCCGTTCTTAGTGATAATCTGAGTTTCTTTTTCCTCTGAGGTGATGGTGTCTCAATTGTGGAAAAGCCTATTTCCTCTTTTCACATATGCAACCTTTAGGCAAAGAGAGTGTTCCCATACTAACCCTATTCCTACCCTTACTCCCTGCCTCCCTGGTACCTACTGACTACAGTTAAGGGACTGAACTTCCTGGTGTGAAGTCCCCTCTAGAAAGTCCTCACTGACCTTCCCAGACTGGGTCCCAATGCCTATGCGACAGCGCACACCAGGTGGCTTAATGCCTGTGTTGTGGGTCCTACGCAGTCCTGGGCCTCCGCGGTGGCCCCCAAACTGGTGCAGTACTGAGTCATCATTTGGTGCTGTCTCCTCCCTGCTACCCCACCATCACCGCTCCGGAGGCGGAAAAAATGCAGACCATAATTTTCAGGGAGGAGGGAAAGGGGTATCATAACCGAGGAACGGAGAAAAAAATACCAATGGTGTCTGGCTTAATTAACGGTCTTATCTGCATCGACATTTGGGAAGTCACCTTCTGCCCTGGGGCATGTATCTATCTGCCAGAACCTAACGCAGTTCGAGAAGAGAAAAGTCTGGTGCAGGTCCGGGTTCGCAACATAGGGGCTGAGCGCATGGTAGCGCGAGAGGCCTAACACACAGCTGCCCCGGGCTAGTGACCTTGGCGCGCAGGCCCAGCAGCTGTTGTCCGGGCGACAGCGCGGCGCCGCGCGGGCATCCCGCGGCCCCTCCCCTGGGCGCGCGCGCGGCCGGTGCGCCATGGCGGCGGCGGCCGGCGAGGCCGCTAGTCCGCAGCGGGCGCCTACTGAGCACTGCCGGGCTGGGGTGACTGCGGGACTGGGCAGTGACGAGGACGCGCCAGTGCGGCCGCTGTGCAAGCCTCGCGGCATCTGCTCGCGCGCCTACTTTCTAGTGCTGATGGTGTTCGTGCACCTGTACCTGGGCAACGTGCTGGCGCTGCTCCTCTTCGTGCATTACAGCAACGGAGACGAGAGCTCCGACCCCGGGCCCCAGCGCCGCGCCGAGGGCCCTGGATCCGCACCAAACCTGGGCCCCCTCACCCGGCTTGAGGGAATCAAGGTGAGGATTTCCCGCTTCGGGTTCTGCAGGGCCCAGCTGCAGAGGACCAAAGCCGCACGGCGCCTTCCCAACGACCCTCACTCTGTCCCTGGCGCCTTGAGTGCCGGCCCCGCGAACACCCATTCACCCACTGCTGCGCGCTGAGGGGGAGACATTGTCCTTCTCCAGCGAAGAGTCGGAGGCCCAGGCAGCCTGGCCACGGAGCTGCTCCTTGTGCCTCTCTCCTTTAGGTAGGGCACGAGCGCAAAGTGCAGCTGATCGCTGACAGGGACCACTTCATCCGAACCCTCAGCCTCAAGCCTCTGCTCTTCGGTAAGTTGATCTGTGCTCCTGGGATGGCCAGTGGGGGCTGTGGTTCAGTGGCTGCCTTGATACTCATTTTGACCACGTGACATCTGTTTTGAAAATGGCTGCTTTAAAATAGCCCTTTATTTTTTTTCCAAGGAGATGTTTACCAAAATGAAGCATGCACCCTCATCCGCATAACAGAGATACAGGGTGACCTTTGCACACTCCCACTGTGAACCTTAGTCTCTGCAGCTGACCGATCTATCAGGGCTGGGCAATGTATCTAAACATTTCTTTATACTGTCTTTGGATATTCCAAGCCAGCCCTGGTGGCACAGTGATTAAAGTGGTCGTTTGCTAACTGAAAGTTAAGCAATTGGAACCCACCAGCTGCTCATCATGAGAAAGATATGGCCTACTTCCTTAAAGAGTTACAACCTTGGGAACGCTATGGAGCAGTTCCTCTCTGTCCTACAAGGTCCCTATGAGTCAGGAATCAACTCGACAGCAGTCGGTTTATTTTGGTTTTGGTGGGTTTTTTTGACATTCCCTGCCATCATTAATTCTGTCACATTCTAGAGTGAGGGGAGAATGGGATAATCTGGTCTGGAACTGATCTCAAGAACCTCTGAGGATTGGAGGAATCCCACCCCCAAAGTAAGCCCTGTGGTCTGATAAGAGCAGGCTGTCCAAATTTGGTTAAGGTGGTACCCCCAAGCCTGCCCCACTGGAACACCAACCTTTGCTACAAACAGTCTAGGTCATCTATCATAGGGAAAGCCTTCCTGAGCTCTTGTTATCTGCCAGAGTTTCATATGGTCATCTGATTTAATCCTTATAACCTCCTGTGTGGTAGGCAGAGTTTCCACACTCACATAGCCATTCAGTGGTAAAGCCAAGATTGGAATTCAGGCAGCCTGCCTCAAGAGTCTGCACTCTAAAGCCACATTGCTGGCTGTGAAGATGCTGAAGTCCTTCAAAGTCTACTCGTGTCAATTGAGGTGGAGGCCTCAGATGTATGAGCCTTGCCCTAGGGTAGGATGGTCCAGCCTAGCCCTGGGTGCCCTGCCTCAGTGGCACACATTTCTACCAACTTGAAACTGTTTCTGGCTATTGTGAGGGAGTGGATACTAAGTTTTAAGAAGGGGACTGAGGCCTAAGCAGAGCATCTGAGCATATACCATTACCCTTGGGGGAGAGGGCCTTTGTTCCAGGATTATGCCTAGACCTGTGTGAATGATGTTAAGGACATGCTGATTGTAGGGAAATAGGTTATAATGTCAGTCTTTTGTCAGAGGTTCCTAAAAGGGTGTTATTGTGATGATTACCATTGAAATCTGTACCAGGCACTGTATTAGTGGCTGGAGACACAGCAGTGAACAAAATAGGAAGAACAAAAAGTGATGCTGACATTCTAATTTGAAGGAGTCAATCAATAAACATATAAATATACATTGTATGTCAGAGGATGATAAGTTACTGCAGACAAATAAGAGAGAAATTTGTTTGTCGCTGAAATTCTAAATAGGCTAGCCAGGGTGGAGTGAGAAAATCATTGAAGCACATATATCTGTAAGAGTTGCAAGATTGAGCACCCACCCCATTACTACTACACTGCTGTCAACAGACACATCTGAGAGGGGTGCTTTCTCTCATCAATCTTCTTGAGGCCTATATGTATTTAATTCAGACTTGTGTTAGCTTAAGGAGCCCTGGTGGTATAGTGGGTTATGTGTTGGGCTGCTAACCACATCAGCAGTTAGAGTGTACCAGCTACTCCATGGGAGAAAGATGAAACTTTCTGCTCCCATAAAGTTTTCCAGCCTCGGAAACCCTGAGTCAGTACCAACTTAATGGCACACAACCACCCATTTCATGAAGTCAACTCATAGTCCCTCTATAGGACAAAGGAGACTACAACATAGCGTTTCCAAGGCTGTGAAGCTTTCTGGAAGAAAGCTGCCACATTGTTCTCCCTTGGAGCAACTGGTGGATTTGAACTGCTGACTTTCACTAAATATCTGAGTGCTTTAGTCCCTGTGCCATTAGGGTACCTTCATGAGGCCAACGGCTTTCTAATATGCAGCTTGTTGCATCAAAATCCTACAAAGCAGAGAATGAGAAACCCAAACCTAAAGACACCAGAAGTAAATTACAGGAAACAAAAGAGATTTGACAAAAAGAAAACTGATTCAGAGGGATCATTGTTTCTTCAGACAGATTAAAAGGGAGAATTGGGCAGTGCAGCAAGAACTTCTACTTGTGGTCTCATCTCCTTGAAAACTTACATTACCCTTAAGTCATTCAATGGCCCAATTTTACCTAGATGTCCCAGATTTACCCTGAAAGCCCCAGGACTTGCTACTTGAGGACATGAGTTAGGCCATGTGCTTGCTAGGATGAGTAAATGAAGAAGAGATCCATGACTATAGATGTAACAAAGAAGTCACTAGACTTCATTAGAGAGGTAAACCACAAGGGAGAGGGTACCCAAGAAGGGGCTGTTCCTGAATGCTGTGTTTTTGGATAAATCCAAAGAAGGACCCTTCATGACAAGAAGGAACAGGGTTTGTTTAGTTTCTGTACTTGCCTGCTTGTCCGTCTATCTGACTGTTGTCTGTTGTCACCTTAAAGAAGCAGTCAGGGCCAAAGGGAAGTGGGCCTTCCATTCCCTTTGCCCTGCTGCTTTTGATCCCAAGCCTGAGTCTCAGTAGGCTTGGGCACTCAAGATGCCAAGGGGTGGGTGCTCTGTATAAGAACTGGGGTGAAAGGGCAGGCCCCAACACAAGGTGCTTCCATATCCATGGAAAGGAATCTCACCACTTAACAGGCAACTATCCCCTGCAAGCTCCTATTTCTCTCTTCAGGGAGTGTTGCCTGTTTTTCACCTGTCCTGGAGACATCTGGTGAGTGGGATGTGGGCCACAAAAGGTCCTCTCCTGACTGTGGTAGACATTTCCCAAGGGATGTGGCCATCAAGTGTCCGTAAAGGACTTCATCGTGACAAGTTCAGTTCAGAAGGGAGGTGCTCTAATTCTGAGTCACTGTCATCTCTCTGGGGATGCTGCCTTTTTTTCATGTGGGTCACTTTTCCCCTCACCTCACCTCATTCTACACTAATTCTGTCTTTAAATGTCAGGTCAAACCTCATCTCTCCCTTCCTTAAATGTCTCCAAGATTTCCCATTATGCTTTTAAATTTCATTTTGTCACCTCTCAGACCTCATCTCCTACTCCTTCCCCTCATGTACTCCCTGCTAATTCTCAGACACCAGTCTCATTACGACAGGGCATGTGTATGTGCTGTGCCTGCCATTAGACTGCTTAAGCCTGGCTCTTCCCACAGATGGTGTCTTCACTCTGTTGAGCATCAACTGAGCTATCCTCTCCTCAGAGACCTCCCTTGACCACTCATCCTTAGAAGGTCCCAGGCACCCTGTTAGATTAGCCTGCTTGGTTTCCCTATCAGAACTTAAAACTGTTGGAAACTATATTCTGCATTCTTTTGTGTCATTTGTGTCTTTGTCCCTATAGGTGAACAGCATGTGTAGGAGGCCTGACTTGTTTCTTTCTGTGTGTTCAGTACTGAGAGCCATACTAGTGGCTGGCTGGTGGGGGTTAACATAAATTCCCAACTCAGCACTTGCCTACTTGCTTAAAGTGGCTACCACCACTCTTGACAGGGATCTCCAGATTTGGTACCTTTTTCAAAAGCAGTGAGGGATACTTTCAGTGGGCCAGCAAGAATTTTATGTTTTAATTATTGAGGATAAAAGAATATATAAAACATTTTATTTTCTAATCATGACTTGCTTTATTATTGAATTTCCAAATTCCTTTTGTTCAGCTTAAGAAACCAGGCAGCTATGTAAGACCACTGTGCTCATGATGAACACTGCATTCCCAGAAGTAGCGAAAGAAATTTAGCATGCATATTATTTCGGGTTTCCAAAGCTCCAGAGTGGAGCTTTCTGCATGGGCTCTCTGTAGCTCTGCTGCTCTGCGTGCCTGCTACAGCTTGGCAGAGCTCTGGACTCAGGGTGAGCAAGTGGAATTGGATCTGTCTGGACTTAGGCAAGCAACATCCTGCCCAGAGTGAGCACAGCCGAAGACTGTGTGCCTGGCCTGACTTACCTTGGGGTGCTGGGCTTGTGGGTGAAGGCCTGGCCTTAACTAGGCATGCATCACAAGCCTGGGAAGGTCAGAGGGGGCTGGCTGGAACCTACCTGCCTTCTTTGCCTTGTAGAACACCCTCTGCTTTAGAGGAGCTCCTAGCTATGTCCAGGGAAAGTGGGAGAGCTCCTCGGGGAGCCATGGGGCCTCTCTGGACTCTTGTCTGCAAATACCCATGGGGGCAGCAGAAACATTTTATGTATGTCCAGGGGAGCACACATTTTGCCTGGCCACTCCACAAACCGATCCTACTCTAGGTGCTGGGGATGGCACCCCCTGTGCAGAGCCAGCTGCAGATTGTGGTTGGACCGGCTCCAGGCAGAGGTGGTGGTCACGAGGAGCTGGCAGCCCTACATCTCCACGCTCAGCACATAGGCCAGGCATGCATGCTGAGTGTAGGAACCTGGGCAGCACATGGCATCCAGCTGCAGCCATTGTCTCAGGGTGGGCACCAGTTCTGCAGAGGGTAGTATACCTCCAGCCAAAAGTCCAGTTGGCCATCCAAGGGTCCAGAGGACATCCCATTGCACCAGGAGAGCCTGACCTTCACTGCTGAAGTGGATCAGAGGTCAGGCGGGAGGCGGCTCCCCGCCCAATCCTTTCCACCTGTTGAATCCTCTCGTCTGATGCTCTGATCTTAGAAACAGGGGCTCAGGGAAGGGAAGGTCTTGTCCTCTAGCTACCACCTCCTCAGGGTGTTTTGTGTTGCTTTGTTTGTTGCTGTGTTAACAATGTCCCAGGTATGAAACGGTATCTTTCTTTAGCTTTAACCATGTATACCATGTGGGTGGTGGTTGTTGTTGTTGTTAAGTGTTGTTGAGTCGGTTCTGAGTCATAATGACCTTATATAGTGTTTCTGAGGCTTTTAAGTCTTTGCAGGAGCAGAAAGCCTCATCTTTCTGTCTCAGAGTAGCTGGTAGGCTCAAACCACCCCTCTTAATATTTGCCTTCCCATCAAGCCAGGAGCTGGCATGGAGGCACTTGTATGGGGTGCTGCATGCTCCGGGCTCACCAAAGTCGTTGGTGCTGAGTGTGTCCATCACCTTTTTAAAATTTTTAATCTGACAACATTTATTACACAACTAGACGTTGAAATCCTTAAGATGAACTGGATGCTGCAACAGCTACCCTCTTGGGTTTAGGTGTTGTTCCTTCACGGAATGCATTCCTGAATCTGCGGTATACAATTTTTAGGTGTCTCATTCGACCAGTACCAGTAGTATTTCGTCTTTTAGCCTTGGCACTCCTGTTATACTTCCTCTTGAGCTTGGCAGGGTAGCCACATTTGCCATAGGTCGACTTCTGAGCCTTTGAGCCACAGTGGTGTCACAACATGTATGTCTTATTGCGATGCTTTTCAAACGATGATGTTCCCTTCATCATCTTGCTTCTGCCGCCGAGACCAAAGTATCACCTCTTTGGAGGAGTGCACATACTGCAGCTTGAAGTCTCTGCAGCTGCTGGAGGTGGAAGGGGAGGTGGGCATGACTGGCAAGGCCCCCAGCTTTCCACTTCTTTGCCCTTTGGGAGGCAGAGCCCTGTTGTGGGAGGCCCCCTTTGTTTCCCACCAGAAGGACCATTTACCTGATCCCCATGGGCAATGACTTGTAAGGGCTGAGAGCATCCCAGAGGCCATCAGAGCATCAGACTCACTTGGGATGCCTGGGCAGGAACCCTTGGCAACGGCGATGATGCAGAGGCAGTAGCTTGTGGAGAAGCATCTGCAGTGCAGGATGGCTGGCCAAGGGTAGCTGAACAGAACTTGATAAGGGCGATACAGGCCTGCACAGCCAGGCACAGGCTGCAGCAGAGGTAGACGACCCATGGGTAACAGACTCAGGTCAAGATTCTCAAGGTCAAGGCTTAGGGGCTGCAGGTCAGGCCTCCAGATCAGCTGGGGCCTCTCCACACTCCAGATGCTGCTTTGTTGCTGGTAACTTCCCATAGTTGCTGAGCAACGACACTCTGGTCACCTAGCAACTGCCCTGCAGCCTGGTTTTCTATATGCTTCCACCCACCAGTCTGGCTCGCAGCCTGGCTGTCCTCGTCTCCGCTCCCTCTCTGCCTGGAGCTCAGGCTTCTTTACAGAGCACCGCCAGCTCTAGCTGGGTTAGCAGTCTTCTGTCAGAGACAGGCCTGGTGGAGGGGTCCTATACCTTTGGCCTTCAGTTACATTTTGGAGGGAGAAGGCAGAGTCCACTCTCTTGTTCTTAAAAGGCTTTGGGCCCTGCAGTCTCTGTCCAGGACTGAGGTTGGCAAAGAGTGGAGAGGTTCCTGTCCTCATGCAGTGAAAGAACCCATTGTTGCTGGCCTGATTGCTAGAGGCTCTGGGAAGGGCCCTTACTCTAAGCTGAGGGATCTAGGGTAATAGTTGTTCAAAGGAAGACTGAGGAAAATGAACTGGCCTTTCCATCTTGGAATTCTTAAGAAAAAAAAAAGGCCACCAAATGGGTCAAGGCATGTCAGGCCTGAGAGAGGCCCTCCACTCCTCTTGGGCTGCCGTGGGCGACTGAGTCCTGAGGTGTCCTGGTACCGAGCTCTACCTCAGCGTTCAAGAAATTTCATGGTATGTGAGTCTAGATCTAGAGTCAGAGTCCATGCTGCACACAGCTGGTGAATCTCTGATCCAATGGGCACCTGCTACCCTCCCTAGGAAAACACAAATGATCCTGATGAAATACACCATCTTCTACCTGCCCTCCTCAGTGCCTGCACTGAATGGTGCCCAGCAAGGGTTAGTAAAGAGCAAGTTGTTGCCAAAGCAAACTCTTCCTGAGGAGGGGCCCCCCAGCCTACACCTGGAAGCCTCTGCCCTGTTGAGGCACACAGGGCTGTAGAGGGAGCATAGGAAGAGGTGCACATTGGGGTGGCGTTCCCAATTGAGCAAGTGCAGCCAGCCTATCGACTGTTGGATGGCTTTGGCTGTTGTGTTGTGATCCTTCAAGTTGGGCAGCTACATCTCCATGTAGCCAATGTCATGTGGCACAACTCCATGGCTAGGCGAGTGGGCACACACCATGAGGGGAACCCATGCCCTACCTTCACACCACAGCATGACCAGTAACCACAGCTGGCCTTATCCATTCTGGCCTGAATGGGCCAAGGTTGAGGGCTTTATAGGGCTGTACAAGTATCCCAGCAGCCAGCAGAGATGGGGTTTGTGCTGGTGTTCGCCGAGCTCCATAGTGCTTGGACTCACTTGGATAGGTTCCAGCATGCTGGCTTGAGCTGTCTCTGTTTGATTAGCATACAACAGGGGTCCGGTAAGGTAAGGGATTGTTGGGCCTGTGGATTACAGGTACCTAAATAAACCAAAGAAATCTGGGCCTGTGTTTTCTTTTTCTTTTTTTGGTTTACTTTGATAAAAACACAGCAATCAAGAAGTGACTGTTGATTAGCAATTTGCCGTACCCCGTTATCCAGCAGGGCTGTCTCCCAGTGTCTAGCTCACATACTTTCTGGGTTTGCTGGGTTGGGGTGTGGTGGTATCATGCAGGTCTGGGGTGGGGACCTTTGTCCTGTCCACAGTGTCATTTCTGGTCACCTATCTCTAGGAGCTGAGCATGGATTCTGGAGTCCAGCAGCCTACTGGTCCTGGACAAGTCACTGGTCTCTCAGGGCTTGGGGGTCCTCATTGACAGGAAAGGCAAACTAATGGGGTCTTTAAGGAATTTATATATATACATACACATACTGTGCTTAGGGCACAGAGTCTGTGCTTCCTAAGTATGATCTGCTGGGATTACTCTTAAAAATGGCTCCAACTCTGGCTCAAAGTGGCCATTTTCCTTCCTCTTGGCAATGACTAGAAATTTACACTTGGAGTATAGGGCAAGATAAGTGTCTGGCCCTTCTGCAAGAGTTCTGAGGGGACACAACAGTAATACTGCACCTTCTGTCAGTCAGCCCCTGTGTAGCCCTTTGCCCCACTTCTAAGGATGTCCTCTTCCTCATCAGGGAATGAGGCAGGGTCTGGGCTCCTACCTGGAAGGGCCTGGGAATACCAGGACATGGGTGTTTCAGCTACACTAAGCTGCCTACTAGTTATGAGGGCATCAGCCACTGAAGCTAAGCATCAGGCTTGACCTCTACTCAGAGGCTTAGAGGTATGGAACAGGCACTCAGTGTATATTTGTGCCTGAAGGAAATGGGAAAGTAAAAGGCACTTGGGGCTTCCAGAAACCAGCATCTGCCAGAAGTCTGAGTGAACCCCAACATTTTGACCTCCCAGGCTGGGAAGTCAACAACCTAACCCTGGTCAGATAACCAATGCCCACTTGTACAAAAGAATAGCAGGCAAGGCCCTTGGACTGGCCTAGAGAACTTGGATATCTTGTCTTGTTGGCTTTTATTTGAATAACACTGAAGAGCAAAAATAAAAGCTACCATCCCACTGCTTTTTAAATGTATACTCAGTTAATTGGAGGTCCATCCTCTGGCCTTTGGCCCCACTCCAAGAAGGGAGAATTTAACTCAGGTCCTGTTTAACTCTGACTTGCCCTCCAGTATTTTCAGCCTGAAAGACCAAGGTTCTACATTCCCATCACTGGCCAACCTGTGCAGGACAGCAGATATAAAGGTGTATGATATAAGGGAGTGTGCCACTAGGGGACAAGGAATGCTGCAGTCCCCAAGAGCCCTGAAGGGAAGTTGCTGGGTGCATCAATGCTTTCATTGAGTCCTCGGCCTTCATCACCCACCCTGTCTTATGGCAGAAATCCCCGGCTTCCTGAGTGATGAGGAATGTCGACTCATCATCCACTTGGCACAGATGAAGGGCTTGCAGCGCAGCCAGATCCTGCCCACTGAGGAGTACGAGGAGGCAATGGGCACGATGCAGGTCAGCCAGCTGGACCTCTTCCGGCTGCTGGACCAGAACCGTGATGGTCGTCTGCAGCTCCGAGAGGTTGGGATCCTGGGAGCTGGAATACACACAAAGTAGGAGTGACCAGAATTGCCTTTCTGCTGGCAAGATCACTTGTAAAGCACAGCCCTGGCCCCAAGTCAGTTGCCACCCCAGGCCAGCTTGGCATGTCCAGGGTTAGCATCTCCCCTTTCCATCTCTAGAGACGCTCTTGTTGCCCTCTGAAACCCAGAAGTCATCAGGGGCCTTCTCGTGGGGGGTGATAGCATTTCCTGCCACAGTATCAAGGTGGTGTGCCTTCTGCGCTCTAGATCCTTTGTTGTCATCGCTGGAAGCCCCACAGACCTCGTGGTAGATGGGATGGCAACCTCTGAGGTAGCCAGCAGTCTGAGCACTTTGCGTGCCCTTTACACTTGGGCTTCTGAGAGGGGTGTGGCAAGGCGTGAGGCTTATCGCGCTGACAGAGTGCCCACTGAGCCTGGTCTCGAGGGCCCCAGTGCTCATGCCCTGACCAGGCCTCCCTCTGGTGCCTGTTCCCTCTTCATAGCCAGGAGTTGACCTCCCCTATGCACCTGGAGTATCTGAGTGGGACAGTGGTCTGTCCCTTACTCTGCTGCCAACCAGCCACCAGTGATCCCCATGGAGGCTACAATCCCAGCAGGGCTGGAAGTGCTCAGGCCTCTTGACTACTCTCTGGCCTCCTGTCTAGATGCCTCTGGACCTCTCTGTCCACCCTCACTTCTTTCCAGGGACCCTCAGGCTCTATCCTTTGCCCTTGCCCATGCCCTGTAATACAAATCCTTAGTCCTATAGCAAAAACTGGACCATCTATGTTCTAGTGATGTACTACGAGTGGGGCCAGTCCACCAATGCATACTCTTGTGCTGCAGGTCCTGGCCCAGACTCGCCTGGGAAACGGGCGGTGGATGACTCCGGAGAGCATTCAGGAGATGTACTCCGCGATCAAGGCTGACCCAGATGGTGACGGTGAGCTCACACCTCACCATGTTGGTCTCTGTAAGCGTCTTTTCAAGGTGCACCTTGAAAACGTAGGCACTATCCTTATAGCCAGTTTCTGCCACATTTTAAAAATGGCTACAGCTATGGAGGGGAGGGTCTAGACTTGCCATGCACCTCTGAGAAGAAGGGAGGCAGCCAACCTCTCCCATTCCTCCTTGGTGACACTTAAGAGAATTCTTGGAGACCCTTGTGACCTTCATCAGGTAGAATCTGCAGCTGTAAGTTGGCAGAGGGCAGAGTGAGTACAGTGAAAGTGAAGGGACAGTGAGGCCAGGCTTGAGCTCGGCCGCTTGCCCGCATGCCCTGCTCTATCCCCCTCTCTCCAGGTAGGTGTGGGGTCTGCCCCTGCAAGCAACCTCCCTGGTCTAATCGAGGTTTCCCTTCTTCTTGCCACCTGGAGCTGTGTTGAATCACAGAAGTGGTAGTGTTATTAACTACTGGGATGAATGTGGTCAGCAGCCTATCCTGCTTTGGGAATAACCCAGGAAATTTCAGAGGTATGGTTGTCAAGTTCTAGACTGAGGAAGACACAGCAGTGTACTAGAATTTGGAAGGGTGGTCTAGTGCCTGGTGAACCCAGACTGAAGGCTTGGACCTTTGATTGGAAGGGTGTCTTACTGTTACTGCCCCAGTGTACACAGCTGGTGACAGGCTCACAGCCTTGAGTGTCCCCTCATCTTCAGAAAAATCTGGGCCAAGGAGTGGAAGGTATCTCAGCCAGGATAACATGGAACTGTGGCACCAACTACTCTTCTAGAATCCCAAGAAGGTGGAGTCCCTGCTTTGTAGGTTGGGCAAGAACAGCTGGAGATGGTTCTCATTTTGGGGAGCAGAATTGCTGTCTTTGCCAAGGCAAGTCAGGATCTAGAAAGAACTGGCTAGATGTGTTTTATTCAGGAGGAGGTCATAAAATATTCCCTGGGACCTGCCACCCATTGCACCCTATAGTTTGGAATGCCACAGTGGAAGTCCAGGGCTGGCTACTCTCCTTCCCTTCTACAAGAACTACTCTCTGCAGAGCCAGGCTAGAGGGCAGGGTGGCCCTGGCTATGTGACTCAAGCTTCATTTGGAGACCCTGCTCTGGTCATTCTCATAAAGCTGGGATCCTTCCATTTCAGGACCAAATCAGAGAAGTCAACTGAGGAAATGAACCTTTTTGGGTCTTCTCTAGCCTGACATGACTGAAATCAGGTTAATGTGACCCAAGAGTCCAGGTGGAGGCCAGGGTCTGCTGCTACCTATGGAGTAGGGAGGAAGGTACATCCTCCCCTTATGGGTTTGGCAGGCACTGATGGCAGGTCCTTTGTGCAGGAGTGCTGAGTCTGCAAGAGTTCTCCAACATGGACCTTCGGGACTTCCACAAGTATATGAAGAGCCACAAGGCAGAGACCAGTGAGCTGGTACGGAACAGCCACCACACGTGGCTCTACCAGGGTGAGGGTGCCCATCACGTCATGCGTGCCATCCGTCAGAGGTGAGCACATGAGGCTATCCTTTCTCATCCTTGGCCTGGTGCAGGGGAGAAGATATGCAGGGCCCCTCAGAAACCCCTGACTGGAGCTGCGAGGACAAAATGGATTTAGCCACCTCAGGATTAAGTACCACTTGTTAGACCAGGATGGGGACCTGTTGAAAGACTGGCAATTAATAAAAACAAATTAGCCCTAATTAAAGGCAAACAGTATACAGTTGGGATTTGAAATCGATGGAATGTTGGTTTTCAGCTAATTAGAAGAAATGACCCCTCTTCTCTTGCACTTAGCACCTAGGGCCTTTAGATGGGGTGTGGTCAGCAAGCCTGGGTCTGAGCCCCCTAGATACAGGGAATTGCATCTTTTCCTACCAGTGGGCATCTAACAGCTAGGGAGAAGGGCTCATCACAAATGATCCCTTCACACTCCTACAGGGCCAGGTTGGAGTGCCTCTAGGGGCTCCTAGGCAAGGCAGGCAGGGGCAGAACTTGAGGCAGCTCTGGAGTTCATTTTGGCTGGTTACTTCAGAATGGCCAGCTGACTGCTTACTGTCCACCAGGGTACTGCGTCTCACCCGTCTGTCACCTGAGATTGTGGAGCTCAGTGAGCCACTGCAGGTTGTGCGGTATGGCGAGGGAGGCCACTACCATGCCCATGTGGACAGTGGACCTGTATACCCAGAGACCATCTGCTCTCACACCAAGTTGGTAGCCAATGAGTCTGTACCCTTCGAGACCTCCTGCCGGCAAGTACTTCTACCTGGGGGCTGCCTCCTATCTAGTGGCTCCCTTCTATCTGAGAACTGCCTCCATCTTGCAGACCACACACTGATGGTGTCATAGACATAGGCCTGCCCCGTTGCATGGGGCCAGAAGACCACTGAGGTCATTTGTATTGATGAAGCTCTTGCCTGTCCCCTTAAGTTCTTTACCAAGTGGCAGGATAGGGGTGGCTGCTGGCCATCTTGCCCCCTCCAGTCAACAGAGGCTGAGTACCACAGACACTGAAACTTGCTCCCAGAGGTCTGAAGTTAGGGGTAAGGCTGGACCTCCAGTTTTTTTTACCGTCTCTCCCAGCTGTTAATCCAGCCTCTATTGCTGGAGGCTTCAGCTATTCTCCGTGTCCCTCTCCCTTGCCAAAATACAGAGGCTGCTCTGGCTTAGCTCCTTGGAACTACATGACCTTGCTGCTTCTGCAAGCCTTACCCTTCCTAGTTGGGCCCTGGATCAGGATCAGAATCAGGGCCACATAAGTTCGCTAAGTGTACTTGTCATCTTGACCACACAAAACAATTGTGATACAGAAAAATTGGGCTTTTAGCAGGAGGGACATCTTGGCACTGGCCTACCCTTCTGGCCCCTAGGAACCTGGGTGGCCTATCCTGCCCACATTGAGCCCCTGGGAGTGTTTGTACAGTCAGAGACCTGCTCAGCATCCCCTCTGCCTTACAGCTATATGACGGTGCTGTTTTATTTGAACAACGTCACCAGCGGGGGTGAGACTGTCTTCCCTGTAGCTGACAACAGGACCTACGATGAAATGGTAAGGGCTGGCTGGGCTGGCATTTGGCTCATCTAGTGCACATCCCTCCAGGTGTGGGAGGAAGGTTCAAGCACAACCTGACATGGCCTTAGTTCCTGGCAGCAGCATGCAAACCACTCCACCTTGCTGCCCACAGAGTCTGATTCAAGATGACGTTGACCTTCGTGACACTCGGAAGCACTGTGACAAGGGGAATCTGCGTGTTAAGCCCCAGCAGGGTACAGCCGTCTTTTGGTACAATTACCTGTCTGATGGGCAAGGTGAGTGCTTGTGGTCAGATCATGATGTCCTGGGAAAGGCTTCACCTTAACCTGCCCCTTGTAAGGGCTGTCTCTAACCACTCCTAAATAGTATTCTGTTCCTGGTGTCTTCCCACAAAGATCACAATAACTGACCTCACCAGGCTGCTCAGCACCTGTGCAGATTCCTGGGTCATCTTGACCTGCCCTTCCCTATTGCTCCAACCTTGTTTTCTGGGGCTGTGGACCCCTGTCCCTTGCTAACCCAGGCTGGGAAGGGTTGTGAAAAAGTCTATCAGTAAGAAAGCTGGTTTTACTGTTGTAAAACGTTAAGAAGAGACTTTCCTAGTAAATGAAAAATTTCTATGATGGTTACAGGACTGTGGTGTGTGTGGGGGGGCGGTGGAAAAAATAAAGTGAATAGTGGTAATATTGTTTAAAAATAATAAAAGTGGGTAGAAATTAAAAAAAAAAAAAAAAGTATCAGAGGGCCATTGATGTGGACAAAACACTTAGGTGGCTGAGATGCTTTTGGGACTGTTTACTATGAGACGCGTACAACTGGGCCCACCCCGAACTCTTGGATCAGAAGTAGCCAACTTTAGGCCAGCCCAGCCTAGAGACCCTCCTGGCCTTTCCCTTGCTCACACCACCCTCCCCTGACAGGCTGGGTGGGAGACGTGGACGACTATTCGCTGCACGGAGGCTGCCTAGTCACGCGTGGCACCAAGTGGATTGCCAACAACTGGATCAACGTGGACCCTAGCCGGACGCGGCAGGCACTTTTTCAGCAGGAGATGGCACGCCTGGCCCGTGAAGGTGGCGCCGACTCGCAGCCTGAATGGGCCCTGGACCGGGCCTACCGCGACGCTCGCGTGGAGCTCTGAGGAGAGGGTCAGCTCCAGCCTCACCCCTAGGGGCAGCCACCTCCTGAGGTCGGGGCCCTGCCTTTCCCCTGCCCTGCTGCAGACCAAAGGCATGGCCGATGGCTTGCCTTACCCCGCGTCCAGCTGTCATTGGAGCGCAGTTCCTATATTCATGTTATTTATTGTGAACAGACCCATGCTGCCCTGATAATGTCAAATAAAATCACACGGCTTCGAGCCGCTAGCCCAAGAAGCTAACGGAAGGCCGGCGGAAAACTAAGCAGGTGGAGCGGGCCAGCAATGCAAAGTGCGCAGCTCGTATCACGTGAGGGGAGGGACTAGGGCTTGGCGGGTTCCGCCAATCCGGACGGGGATTGCGTGGGACGGAGGGTCGTCATTGGATATAGCCTGCGCCGGGCCATCCGTAGGCTCTGCTACCTGTAGCTAAAGGCGCAGTCGATCGGCTACGCGGCGCTCGAGGAAGGGTTGTTCTCGCGAGAGACCAACTCCTGTCTTGGTGGTGGCTGCTGCTGCAGTTCAAGACCCGACATGGACGCTCACGAGGACTACGTGTGGCCGCGAGCCACCTCGGAGCTCATTCTCCTCCCCGTCACGGGTCTGGAGTGCGTGGGGGACCGGCTTTTGGCGGGTGAGGTTTAATTTGAGGCGCACGCTAGCGAGCGAAGAAACCGAGCGTCAGGCTAGGGCGGGGCCACGAGGAACAAAAGGATGCACCGAGCAGGGCGGGCTGCGGGACGAGGCTCGATTGGAAGTGAGAAAGGATCTTGGGGCACGACGGGAATAAGGACGGGGCTGGGAGACAAAAACTGATGTGGCTAGTGCAGCCCTTCATAAACTGCAGCCGATATGGACATGACTGACGAAGAGGCGAGAAAGAGCGGGATAACGAGGCCGTTTCAGTAGAGGGATGTCTTCAAGGAGGCGGGCGGGGTGTGGCCTTTCCTGAGAAGGCGGGGCGGGAGGGCGGGGAATGAGCCCCCCAGAGGGCGGGGCCGGGTAGCACCTGAAGGCTAGTCAGGAGTGGGCCGGCAGTATGGCCTCAGGTGCAGGTGGAAATGATTTTCCTCTGTGGAGGGTGGGATTATGGGAATTTGGGGTTGAGCCTTTTCCCATTAGGCCAAGACCCGGTAACATAGGGGTTGAGGTTGTGGTCTGAACAATTCTATTGTCTGTGCCTCAGGTGGGAAAGCACAGGCCCCAGTGACTGGCAGCAAAGGCCTGGGACCCGAGGTGACATAGTCCGGGGGAACATGAAACCACTCCTGACAGTGGCGATGAGGTGATTGTTTAAAAAGGACCTTTAGTGAGCTGCTACCAGTCAGGCAGGTGATGGTGAGTGGAGAATGCCCAGTTTGATCTTGATTGGGGGCTCTCATAGCCACAAGGTCAGCAATTCAAACCCACCAGCTGCTCCTCTGAAACCCTATACAGGGTCGCTATGAGTCAGAACCAACTCAACAGTTGTGAACAATAGCCTTGTTGTTGCGAGCTCTTGAGTCGATTCCAACTTAAAGGGATCCTGTATGGTGCTTATCTTACAGTGCCGTAGCAGTACCAGGACTCCTCGTAGCCTACCAAGGGCTAAACTTCCAAGACTCCTTGATTTGAGAACAGTGAAGTACAAACCCAAATAAGCACAGAATGAACTCGGAAAATTGGAGGGATGGGTTTCTTGCACAGGTTAAGCATGCTGATGGGCAGTGAGGCCTGGAGATTTAGCTACAGTTTAGGAAAGAGTGAATTCCTATGAGACTGGATCAGGGGTGAAGAAGTCTGTGAGGTGGGGAGACTGGAGAAATGAGTAGGGACTAGATTGTTTTAGGGCTTGATCTAACTTTATCTCTAAGGGCAGTGAGAAGTATAACAGGGCATGACTTGATGGGAAATGCAGGTGAGAATGCTGAGTACCCATCAAGTGACTTCACCCATTCCTTTGATTTTAAAAGTGACTTACGTAGTTAAAGTTTTTAATTCCATCTATATAAACTGAATCTCCACTTCTGTTCTTGCCTGAGTTTTAGGCCCAAGTATATAGATGCCTGCAAACGAAAATATTCCCTCTACTCTTAGTGGTTCTCTTATTGATGGCTCAGCTCACCAGCTACTCAGATGCCCACAAATTCCAAGCTCAAGAATCTACCTGAGTCCCTAAGCCCGTTAGGTACCATGTCTGGTTGATTTTGGCATCATGTATGTGGTACCTTTCTATTTCTCTGTCTGAGTTGACTTCATTCAAGGGCATGCCACCATGTCTCCCTCAGCCCCTCAGTAATATCTTCTCTGGCCCATTCTTAAATCCTTTTTTCTGTTCCATTCACACTACCCAAAGCTCTTGCCCAACTTAGGGCTTCCCGTCTGCTGTTCTCTCAACCAAGAAAGCTTCCCTCCTATCTGCTCTTCCTCTAGCTAATCCTGCTCATCTTTAAATCTGCGGCCTCCTCTGGCTTCCTTGTCAACCTGGGCACTGTTGATGTTTTGAACCCGATAATTGTTTCTTTTCTTTTTTCTCCATCTGTATTTATTTTATATTTAAGGCTTTTATTGTGGATTGAGTAAAAGTTTACAGGGCATATCATCAACAAATCATACACCTTGTTTCATTACAATGATTTTAATCCCCTCCATGTACGATCAGTTAACAGTATTTTTCTCTATCCACTTTAGCTTTTTAAACAAACAAACAAACAAACAAACCACTCAGGCATATATAATAATTTACATCTCCAAAGGGCACATTCTGCAAGTCTGCCTCCTGGCCACCAGCTCTTAGTCCCTTTCTTTTTAGTCTATGAATCTAGAGTCCTCAGCCACTCCCCCTCTCCATGCCCCCATCTCTGGCGCTGCTGCTTCTCTGGATAAGGTCCCGCATTCTACTTGTGCACTTCTCTCTTGATGGTCCTAGGGTCCTCTGTTTCTGGACTATAAAGATTAACCACTCCCCTGTTTTTGTTACAAAACTTCTACCTTTACAATTGTGACAGTCACAATTAGTCATGATAATAATTATTCACTATTGAATCTTACGAATCTTTTCCCCATCTCTTTTCACCAGACCCATCTAGACAAGATAACAGCTATTCAGTGGGACTCTTTCTTTTACCCATACTCTTAAACTCCCTCTTGAAACCTTGTAAGCCAGTCACTTTATGCCTTTATTGCCCCCCCATTTTAGGTAGCCAATGTCTAAATTGCCTGACCCTATCTACCCTGTATACAGAGGGTATAGCATTAATACTTGATGTGAAGGCTCTTTCCCTCTCTATTGGTATTTAGAGTAACTACTGCTCTGAGTATAGCTTAGGTTCATCAAATTGAAGCAGTTTACCCTTGTTTCCTTTATTCAAAACAAAAACAAAAAAAAATTTTTTGTTTTCCAATCTTCCTCTAGTCGAGTTCTCATTATCAAGCCATCGAGGCTAGGTTAAAAGGGTACTTACTGTATGCGAGTTTGGGTGTTCTTGTGCATCTCTCCTCACTTCATATCAGCTGGATGCTTCACTCTCAGCTCTGGCCCTCTGTGGCTAAGTTCTTGTCCATGGGCTCAAGTGTCCTCATGTCTCACCACACTTTGGACCAACCAGCCCTTCCTCTTCTCTCTCTCATCTCCAGGTCAATGGGATTTAATGGACTGCGGTTGAACTCAGCCCATTTCTTCATTGATGCCTTTCCGCTTCTTCCACTCATGAGTAGACCAATGTGGTTGCCAGCAAGCTTATGTGCTTGTTTGTGTATTCCATTTGAGTTTCAGTCTTAGAGGGGAGTTTGTCCTGAAGGCACTTGATTGCTAGCCTTGATGTCTTCCTGGTGAACAGCTTGCTTATTCTTGTAGTAGCCAGTCATACTGACATTTTTGTTTTGGGTTTTTCCTGATGATCTTTCTTTGAAGATGTATCTTTTGTCACTGTAGCTGTTCCAGTCTGCTTGTCCTTTTTAGTGGGAATGTCCCACTTCATAAGGTTCTGGATAGGATTCAGGAGTCCACCTAAGGTCCTATCCACTGTAAAGGCTTTGCACGAGGCCTGTATCACTGGGCAAGTTATAGAACCCCTTTTAGGAATTCCAATCAGTAATAGGCTGAAGAGACGGGCTTACAAGTTTTCTCTACCCATGTTTCCCAACATTTCTTTCTATTCTACTCAAGTGTCTATTTTACAAGAGTAGGCAAGGGAAACTAATATTCATAAGACAGTCAAGGATTTTAGTATTATTTCCCCTCTTCAAGCTATACCTAGATCCCTGAATCCCAGAGCCCTGTTGTTCCAAGGTTGAGTATGCTTCACTATTTACCTCGGTCCCACTAGGCCATGCAAACCTGTCTCAGTGTTCCCCTATCTATCTTGTTCTTCCACTTCCCCCCCTCTTCTTGTAATTTCCCTCCCCAACACACACAGTAAACCCCCACTCCAACCCCATTGTGGTTACCTTATATTCCATTAGTTCTACCCTCCATTTAAGACAGTCTATTTTATCCAGTAATCTACCTGACCTTCCCACCACCTGGATCTCTGTTCCTCTGTGTTTACCTTCTTTCACATTGTAATTGCTTTGATCATAGACTGACGTCCCAGATCCTCTGTTCTTATAATTTTGTTCTGTTCTTGACTCTTCCATTTGTCGATTGAGTTCAGGGTGATGTTGCCACGTACGTCATTCTATAGTTGTCTGTTCTTGTTGGTTCTCAGTCCACAGAACTTCCTATAGGATGTTTTTCATAGCAGGGTTGGCTTTGGCAAAATCCCTTAGCTTCTGTTTGTCCTGGAATGTTTTGATTACACCATCATATTTGATTGACAGATTTGCTGGATAGAGGATTCTTGGGTGGCAGTTTTTTCTTTCAGGGTTTTATATATGTCTCCCCATTGCCTTCTTGTCTGCATGGTTTCTGTTTCAAGATCTGAGCTTAATCTGATTTGCTTGCCTTTGTTTGTTACATTTCTCTTTTCTCTAGCTGCTTTCAAGATCCTGTTCTTCTCTTTGCTTTTGGAGAGATTGATTATTAT